ATATCCTACCTGTTCCAGCACAACCACAGATAAGTGTTTTATTACGCGGCCGATGTTGGATTTCAGTAGACCATTATCTGTGGTATTTAAAATGCAGAAGAAAAGCTCCACCTTGGTTGACATAGCGGCTCCTAATCTATTTTGCTCACAAACGCCGCCCTATTTGCCATATCCAACTGGTGGGAGACCCACCAAATTTTCGGTTGTTAAGTTACACCGTTGAGTTGCGGCTCCTCTCACACAAAACTAATGCGATTTTGCAGTTTCCATTCGTCGGTTGTTTTTTGTTGACTTTGTTAATTCTCCATTCCGCCAATCTACGAATCTTTAATGTGTATCCCACCCAGCCTTCCCACTTTGCACGATCAAACTCATATGAGTAAACGCAAACGACAAGAGCAAACTCGACCCTGGAAGATTGGAGGAAAGCCTCCATTCCATGTGTATTAATATGTAAATACATGGAGTTTTCTAGTGAATTCTGCTTAATTGGACAATTTTCTATGGAGGAAAATGTTGGTGAAAGACAGTTTCTGCCGTCTTCTGGCGAAGTAATGGTTGAGCAGTACCGTATCTTAATTTTAAACCAAGAAAGTATGGTAAACGTGGGTCATCAGTTCCAAGATTTGAACCTGAATTCCCTTAGCAAATAATGATAGCGAAAATATCTTCTCTAAATAATGTACGTGCGAACTGTAGAGAAAACATGAAAGGCGATTTCGGATATCAGGATCGAGAGAGAGCGCATTTTTATGAGGCCTTATCTTGGTCGACTAGCCCACGACTTAAGGGCTTATCACATAATTGATTAGGCGAGATTTTTGCTTAGGTATGAAGGCCTCACGGTAATAGTAGAACATGTGAACACAGACTTCTGTTTCTCCAGATTTGGTTGCGCAACATACTTAACGGCTTTACCCATAAGAACCAGTCCATTATATTCTGACAGCTGTCTCTTTACAGTTAGGCCTTTGAACAAAGAATAGTGGTGAAGAACCTAATGGCCCTCCTGTACATGTTTGGAAACCCTGGCACCATATCAGATATTAAAACCAGGATTTCTGTTAACAGATGTACTCCTGTGACACGTCGAACTTCTTTTGACAACATCAGACTTGGCGCCATACATTCTCCATAAAATGGGACGGACAAACAGAGAACTGCTACTATCAACGCTCCCTTTATTTCTTTTTGGGTAATTTTACATCCTCCACTCCGGAATATGAGTATCATCCTTTTTATAACGGGAATGAGACCGACGTTCTGATGCAACTAACTGCATCTCAATGAATCATCTTTATTTTCTACTTCATCTGCCTGACTAGGAATTTTCCAAACGCGCCAAAACTTGTTCACTACTTTCACTATTTCATTATTACCGCTTGGCACAGTTTAACATATTTTTCGAACTTTCCATTCAAATCACGTGTAAGAAGAAGATATGCATGCATTTTTGGCTGCATAGTGTAAAGATGGAGCAAAACGTCGCCCCAAACAGTATCTTCTTTCGCAAAATCACACGTCCTTATTGCATTTTTAGATACTAATTAGGGTCGTTTGGGAACGTTTAGGTATTGTGCACATAGTTTCCTTTAAAAAACGAGCCTACGCGTACGCAAATTAGAACGTTTTATCCGTATATAAACTACAAGTGAGACAGTTAGCTGAGGATTCAAGGTTGATTTCATGCAAAGTTGATGCAAACTTTTGGTGGTAGACCAAGCTAACTCGTATAGGTAACCGGAACCAGTCCTAGTGACGGCAGCATACAGAAAAATCCTTCACTAACGGGAAAACTCTTCAAGCTTTTACTCAGATCCAGCCTTTCAATCGAACCCAGCAAATCTCCGAACTGCATAGCTGAGTATTGCACTTAGTCGGTTATTTTTCTACCGGACAGTAATGACTTTGGCTAGACTATTCGCGATATATCAAAAGGGGCTCTGAGACCTATCGAAAGACCACGAAGCTCAGGTTTGCAGCCAGTAATTAAAGGTCTGGGTGAAGTAGGCGAAATCCGTATTAGCAACAGTTTTTAAGCTTCTCGCTTCGGGTCACTTTACCATAAGTCGATGAAATAGTTACAAGTAAGCGGAACTGTCCTACTGGAGATTGTTCTGAACGGTATGTAAGGAAATAGCAGGTCTCGGACACATGAGATAGTTATCCACGACTTAAGTGCATCAAACTCCATCTGAAACGAAGCCCAACTACACCAGATATCAACGCTGTTTTTGGGGGAATGAGCCCCAGGAGTTTTGTAGAACCTTTCTAGGCACTGATTGTTGTTTCTCAATGGAAACTATCTGCGCGGCACTGTTTGGTTTTGCCTTGTAGTATGATGTCTAAAAATTGAAGCCAACAAGGGTCATGCACGTGAGTTGTATGAACAACATAAGCTAGCCAGCGATCGTTACCACAAGCAAGGGTCTGTGGCGAGTTTTCACACAATCATGAGAAATATTCAGTAAGCAATACAACTCGCCAAAATATGGCCTGCAGTGTTTAGTCTGTCTCAAGATAATACCATGGCGAACAAAATGCACACGGTGGATTCGGCAACTGGAACGGATTGAGTGTTGGATTAGGACGATAGTTTGTAAGGTTAGAATTGGTGTTTGTGTGTATTTTGGAGTGGGTGATGTTGTTGGTGAGGGTGTTGATTTTGGTGAGNAGCAGGTCTCGGACACATGAGATAGTTATCCACGACTTAAGTGCATCAAACTCCATCTGAAACGAAGCCCAACTACACCAGATATCAACGCTGTTTTTGGGGGAATGAGCCCCAGGAGTTTTGTAGAACCTTTCTAGGCACTGATTGTTGTTTCTCAATGGAAACTATCTGCGCGGCACTGTTTGGTTTTGCCTTGTAGTATGATGTCTAAAAATTGAAGCCAACAAGGGTCATGCACGTGAGTTGTATGAACAACATAAGCTAGCCAGCGATCGTTACCACAAGCAAGGGTCTGTGGCGAGTTTTCACACAATCATGAGAAATATTCAGTAAGCAATACAACTCGCCAAAATATGGCCTGCAGTGTTTAGTCTGTCTCAAGATAATACCATGGCGAACAAAATGCACTAGGAGCATTTCTGCTTTGTCTTACCCACGTCATCCACAAAGAACTTATCTCCATGTTTCTCCGTAGACTTCACTGGGCACCCAGGCAATAGAGAACAAGCAGATAAGTCAAAACAGTTGTCAAAGTGTACATATTCAACAGTGTATTACTCATAAAAAAGTGAGTGTTTTGATGGTCTATGTGGCAACCTCCAGTTCATCCCGTTTCAGAACCAGTGGCGACAAAACTTGCAGAAGTGAGAGGCGCTCGTGCGTCATCAAGACGGCATACTACGAAGTTTTGGTTGATCATCAGCACTTTGAGTGGATAACGCATTCATAGTTTATCTACTGGCACACTGGAACTGACTAACACAATACGTCGGCGACAGGGAAGTTTTTTACCGACAAAAAAGTTGGGTGGAACCAACAGGACACATGATTAGGCGAGCAGCGTCCACGATAAAGTGGACCTGCCTTCTTAGAAGAGAGCTTGAAGAACACTTAGATAACGCTTACAAGTGAACCTTCTGGAAGTGTAAAAATGCTCAAAGGGACAAGTTTTCTGCTTATGTAAACACACTTGCAAGGTAAGTAATATGGGATGCAGTTTACACATCCACTTAAGAATACCTAAATTCACGTACACTTGTATTGTGTTCAACCATGCAATGAGTCCAAACGTTTTAGGGTTGAAAATAGAGTGGCTTTGCAAATGGTTATCGCCTGTAACTGATTTCCAAAGGTAAAAATAGTTGTCACCAGGACTGGTGGCTGTCGAGACATTATATTCACCAAATTAGAAGAGGAGAACTTACCAAACAAGTTCCAACAAGTTCAAGATTCCTTCCGTAAGTGGTATTCAGGAGGAAGTGCTTCTTTAAATAGGAACATTATTGTCTATTACATCTGTTTACACTTGGTGGCCTGTGTATCGTATTTTTGGGCTTGTGCAGACATAATACACTAGTCATAAAGTTGCCGAAAGCTCTTGGACAGTTGACCAATGTAGCCCTCACCAGATAGGTGCAGTCCCCGAGTTCCCGTCAAATTTATCTTCTACTTGAACCAGATTGCAAGAACCTCGACTTGTACATCCATCTACATACCGATTTTGTTTTGACGGGAGGCTCACCTTGAGCCCAGCCGAATTTGGATATGTTGCAGCAAACAGCTTCATGCTTAAGTTGGCACGATATTCTGGATATCCTTTTACAGTGTATAGAAGCAATACATCACCCATAGGGTTAGTGAAAGTTCTTCGACGGCCCATGATCTGTTCCATAAATGACAGATTCAGCCTCCTATGAAGACCAAAGTGGTGTACAAATGAGTGTATTAGTGGAATACTCTCTGAATTATTTTTCGTTCCAGAGTAGTGACTGACTTCAGAACACTCATTAACACTCATTCCACGTTTTACAGGATTTTTCGGAACTCTTGATCATAATTTAGGTTCCGCAAGTTTTTTGGAGTAAAGGCTTTTGCTATTGAAGGGACAAGGTATACTTTATCTACAAATATCGCTAACTGAATGCCACTGCTCTGGCCACACACGATAAATACAGAGACAGTTAACAGCAATTAGCCAGTGGCGCACTACTAAACTGCAGATTTTCTCGGCACACACAGATCGATAAATTTTCAGAGTTCTTCACCTGCATGACACTAAAGAAACATTCCATAAATCGACAGCACACGTTAAGGGTCAAGTTCTCGCACTTTCCTCATTCTGAGCCCAGGCTGTTATCGGTTACTAGTAATTTATCGTGTGCTCATCAGGTACGAAGAGAGTGTGCGTTTGAGTGGTCAACTATAGGTGCAGTGCAATTGGTTCGTGTCGGCGTTAAACTGGAAAACTGACTGGACGGTCAGCTATGTGTTGAGCATCTGCTTGTTATATATTACGCACCAAGAGAACTGAAGAGAATTTCTAACAATGCAGGCTCGCCTCATAGTGGCAATACTGGTCATTGTGGGCGCGGTGTTTGGGGCAGTGCACATTGCACTATCCCTCTATTCAGCTGTGGATAAAAACTGGGTGCAGTTTACCGTCCCAAGTGACTTGTATGATGAAAAAGTCATGGAAACACAAAACCGCCGCCGTGGATTACTTGTGGAATGTGTGGATGGCAAAGGTTAGTCACAACACTATCACTTTATTACGTTAGGTGTTCTGATAAAGTTTGAGCATCAAAGCCTTATGGTTCAGATGTTTGGTGTTCAAATTAGATTCAGGTAGAAATATAAATTGAATGTATACAAATTACGTAATGACACTAATCGGTTGAATTAAAGCTTTGTCCTATCACTGTAGAAGGGTTTAGAAAATTACTAGTAGAACTTTTTAAGAAATGACGCTTCCAAGCTTTTGTCACTTTCATTTACATGTTAGACGTCAGTGGTGACATTGTGTGAGTTCATATCCACGTTAAAGTACGACTGACAAGTTTTGTCAATAGGTAGTCAATCAGTAAACAAGAGTGGTTACGTACGAGAAGACACGCAAGACCAAATAACACTCATGGGTGAGCTCGTTGGTCATTTAAAATGTGCCCTTATGGGTCCGTCTCTGGATAACAGAGTAGACGTACTGCGCTCGCTCTCTATATTAGATGACTTGATTTCAGGTTCATGCACGGCCAAAATATACATTTTCAGCAGACCTTTCATCCAGTCAAACTTTACTGGAAAGAGGAGAAGCACTGTACAGCTGTCTCCCATCATCAACAGCGCGCATCTCACGAAGATTAAAGAGCTTCGTGACTGAAGGATGAGTGTTGCTATGCCCTGTCTATTGGAGAGCTAATTACATTGCTGATCAGCCGCTCGTGATCAAACGATTAGGTTTTCAATTACTGGCTGGGAAGATGAGGTCCAAAACCATCTGAGTTTCATGAAATGTGCACTGCTGATGATTCCTAACAAGAGTGGAACAGCTGAGTAAGGCTTCTGGGTTTTTCAGCAGAGACTACCTTCACTGACGAGATGAAATCCCTATTGTTCTTTATTAAATCTCTTCACCACCCCAGTATACATTATTGGTGAGCTCTGTTAGGGACAGGAATGGAATCCAATGCTTCCTATCGTGAGACACATTTATGGGACCAATTGTACTGTCCAGGTAAGGGGATCGTCGGTACTGATTCGAATAATCTCGCAACTAGACGGCCAACACTATTTATAAAGCGGCCGAAGACACTTCGACATCTCACAACCAGTCTCGCCATACTTGGAGCTCATCGGTAGAAACATTTCCAGGGTTCCAGCCTACTTTATCTTCCACACAAACACCGAATTCTACGCAGTTGGTGAAGTACGCTCATTTGCACGTTGAATCGGTGCTAACGAAATGCTCAGATGAATACCACCTGAATCTCCCACTTATGAGTAGTGTGTACCGTAAAAAACACATTACAATAGCTCGCTTGTCGTACAAAGCGAAACGTGAGGCGGATTTGGTGCACTACATTCATTCGAAGCGTACTACGAAAGAGTGTTTTAGCCGAATCTCCACTTAACACTAGCTCAAAGTCTTTTCTGTCGATCTCTCAGTTGGTTACATGTAATTTGGAATGTGGTATGGAGAAGAACTGCGTGAAATAGGTATGACTCCAACACCACAGCCATTTCTGTCTCTTATAGTAGAGGGAGAACTGATTATGTGTACCTCAGAATAAAAGCTATCAGTTAGCTTGCCCATAAGGACTAATATCTGTGTATCACGCCGTAATGGTATGAGCCGATTTCATTGGCAAAACGACCCCGACCACGACTGAGCAGAAGTACTCGTTTGAAACCGGTTGCTTACGAAGACCACACCGCGGATTTTACAGTTTCCGGTGGAAATGTAAAGTTCTCGAAAAAGTGGTAGTTTACTGGTGTTTATGTCATCGGCTATAAAGTTAAGAGGAGATGAGCCATTTAGATGGTGAACAAGCATGAAGTACGAGTCAGCGAGTGCATTGATTCATAAGTAGTGAGTAAGTGAACAAACGCTTGTGCATTGGTTGTTACTCAGTAGCTGTTCGCCGAGCTTGGCAATCAACTTACTGGTATCCCGTCACCAAACGAGGGGATATCGGTGTGCAGTTGGGTAGGTGGGTAACCCACCCAACCAATAAGCTCACCAGATCTACTAATATTTCGATGCGTTTGTACTGCATGTGGTAAGAGCCTGCATTCGTGAAGGGAATTAGCTTAGCTTGTCGGGGGACAATAGTAGCAACTAAACAGCGAAACTATTCTTGTAGAGTAAGTGCCACAGCAGCAGAGCCACTCACACAGGCGCAAGCCAGAGTTCCTATTTGACTATAATCTTCAAGGTTACAGTCTGACTTTAGTCCACTGGGTAAGGAAAATCGAAAATAAGTTGTAGTTTCGTATAAAGCAGCTCTAATCTGCTCTTCGTCGTTCTGTAGTCTCAGCTTTCACATTGTAAGGTAACGCGGTACCGATTTCGAAAAGCCACGGAACACCGTGACGACAACTCCGTGGTCTATTTTTTACAAATGAAACTAAAACCGTGGTTAAAAATGAGAAATCCGGGTGAATGCGTGAATAATGGATAAGACGAAATACTCAGGACAGCATCATTGAAAAAAAAGTGAGAAAACGCTATTGTGACCTTAGATGCGAACTTTTCTATAACATTCCTGTCGTCCACCATACCATTCAGCTAATAAGTACATTTGGCCAAATCCAAGGGTAAAAGAACTCGTTTTTACGTCGTTGTCAAGTTTGTTCACCATTCGCTAAATTATCCATAATCTCCTCCATCCATTTCAGACTACTGCCATTACCTGGAGGGTTTGGCAGACCAGGGAACCTATCCACATTCCAGCGATATCCTTCGTAAGTGAGCGTTACGGGTGTTTTGAATTTTGTTGAATACGTTTGAGCTTCCATTGAGCGTTCCTTGCTAACTTGAGGCACCACATAACAGTGGTTTCTATTTCCGGTCATCTTATTGGCTAACGTCTATCATGCTTAGATGGTACACCTGGTCTGAATGAAATCAACGTGTAAGTTTTCCATTCTGTAAAACCATATGAGCGGATGTTCAGCACGGGGACCGACAACTAAATTGGAGGTGCCTCTGTGGGGTCCCAACCCCGGGTTGTCCAAGTGGCAATTCACGATCCCAAAAATTTGGGCCACCAACTATCAAAAGCTGCTGGTTCAGACATCAAGTAAACATAATACGAAGTGGCCATTTGGAACTCTAGTCTGACAAGAACAAAGCTGTTTTCTATCCACAAACTTTTTCGATCTTCAAGTTAAGTCGCCTGAGCAGTGCTTACGATACTGAATTGGTCCCCAGTGCACCTGAGTGTGGTTGACTTATGATGGAATGACATAACTCATATTTTCACGCTTATTGTTAGACATTTCCACTACTGTAGATGAGCCTCTTCAATATCAGAATAATCGAATTTTATCTTGGTGTACTTTTGAGTTGCGGAGTTACATTACTTTGAAGCATAAAGAGTTGAAAATCACTGAATTTTCTCACCGAAATCTGGGTGGAGTGACTCGCGGTGATTGGGTAACCCACAAAATCCCCTTGAGCATTGTAGAAGTCTGATTGTCAAAATGATTGAACAGGGAATCGAAATCGGACATTTCTACTCAAGTGCAAAAAATACAATCTGCTCAGTCCAATATGAAAGTATAAAACGTAAGGGGACTTATCACCCTAAGCCTGCACACCAGCATTTTATGAGAAAAAAACCAGCAATAACCTTTGAATTCTATGTGCCTGCGTCTATCCTGATGGCGCAAATTCCGTTCAGAGTTAGCAACCTCGGCAAAGAAAGGGAAAAGTAGAACTTCAACCGGACTCCAAGATGAAAGGTCAGGCCTGTAAACTGAACAAAAACCAAAGGATTAGAGTCTCCGAATAGTATCTCTGACTTTTGGGTGACCAGGTACCTGTCTACACCAATCACAAAGCAACACAACCATTTAAGTAATCCCGTTCAAAAATTATACAGCTCTTTTTCTTGTGAGAGTAGAACCGGCACAAAATGACCTTATCGCTTCGCGTATGTCAAAGTGAGAAACCTCTCTATACTATGTATTTCCCATCGTTTCTAAACTCTGAGCTGGTATTCACATGACCTCGTAAATCGCCGTGGGGTGTGAATCAGAAATAGCTCTTTGTAGTTTGCCATACTTTACCATTTTTCATTACTAATTTTTGAAACCTTCCGTGTACGTAGCCCCTTGGGCACCTGAACCCGAAAAGCGTTAAGAGTAGACAATAGTTAATCATGTGCATTTGGACAAAGTAATATTCCGCAGGCAGACGGTCATACCACATCGGCAAGATCAAGAACCTAACGAGTGGAAATCTGGATCGCGTTACTCATTCTGTTTCGTATTGACAACAACAGATTAAACTTTGGGTTACTGTTCTGTTGATAAATCCAGTCCCGCAATCTCTGTCCATCGGGATCCTAGCGAAGTTCTTGAGACGGTGATTTTGTATCACGGGAAGGCACGGGGTGAAGTGATGGGGTGAACAGTCGACAGTTAGATGTTTCGGAGCTTCTTTTATATGGAAATCGGCGCCTGTTATTAGTCAAAGTGTATTCGAATCTAACATATGGTAGTGTACCCCTATTTAGCATTCTAATTCCTCTAGCCTGAAGTCGGGAAACGGTGCAGTGATTCAGTGCTACCACACTACTTGACCAGGTGATGGAAAAGATAAGTGTTCTGTGATTTGATGCCCTAGACTTTGATACGAGTGTCTTAAAATTTTGTCATTAATTGGCCCTTATTTGTTCCGGTGTGTGAACACCCAGGTGCAATCTCTTCACACTTCAGATAACGGCGAGTTAATCACGAATCAGGTTTTTGAAAGTGACATATGGGTATTGTGATCTCCATTTGTAGGATTTCACAAGATAAACGGTTTCGGAGTATGAAAATTCGAAACTAAACAGGATGCGCATCAATGTAAAACTGGCAGTCGATTCTTTGCGTTGGATCAACATTAAGATCTTTTGTGCTTGGTTTTCAGATAGGAAAATACGCACCGCATTTCTCCAGGGAGCTCGATTGCGTGAAATTTTATCACGCAATGAAGAACAAGTCGGTAACTAGCTATTTCCTTCATATTGGGTATCGTCAGGAGTGAAATCAAGAGGGGCGAGCTATTCGGATTACAGGTCCTAATTACTGGGACCACACCATAAGTGAGCAAAGAAAATATCTTCGTCGATGTCCGACGTAAACGTTCCTTCGTTCTACGTTGGTCACCGACCACCTAATTCACAATTAAACAACAATTAGAGGAATCAATGCTTAATTTCAAAAGTTGGATGTCTACTTTCGCAAGAAGTTACCGCCCAACAGTGATGCAGCGGACATCCAGTCTAAGGAGTATCGTCCTGGGTGACACCTGTAAGACAGATAAAAGGCTCGGAAAGAGAAAAGCTCATCTCTCGGAAGACAGACTCGATTTTACTGAATACTCCATACTTTGACGGTTACTTCTTATTAGGTTTGGGTTACATCCCACAAGGAGGTGTTGAAATGGTCTAAAACAAGAAGACAAGGTAATCGAAAAACAATGAAAAAACGTGCATATTAACAGCAATCTTCCAGAAACACATGATTTGTCATTGCCGGAGTGCCAAAAGGAATCACTTTGCGAATTAACGCACATTCCTCTTTGTCACACCGCACTTCTACAAGTTTTATTTTTCACTGTTGTGGTGCAGTCAACCTCACGGTTTACGGTGAAGAACGGAACGCGGTAACACGCATGTGATTTCTTTGAAGAAACCACTCTATCTGTGATCTGATTCTAACCAAAGCGGCTAACTGATTGTTACGCTCCGAATCAGAACATAGGTAGCAATTTTGTTCCACAGGTGTTGAAGATGAACCAGCAAACTCACTTTTCCAGGGCTGTGGAAAGACTGTAAAGTTTCGAATTTGGACTAGATTTGATAAAAGTTTTTAGGTCCCCAAATAAATTCACACAAAGACAATACTAGACAATACTAGATACAATTTAATCCTGGAAAGGTTAACTCAATGCTTTCAACAGAGTTTCGCATCGTGAACCCTTTTGACAACATCACAGAACGTGATTCCTAGTTTAAAGTTTTTTCTGACCAAAAGTGATCTTCTTACTCAGCTTAAACATCCTCATCAATATATATATAATATATGACTGGCTTCACTTACAGGACGAAGTTTCCACAAAAACATGAGAATGATGTTTTGAGAGGACGTAACGCATATTGTCCAAAAAGATACTGTACTATGATGAAGAATATTGCGCTTTTTATTTTGAAAAAAATTTGAGTGGTCTCAATGTTAGATCCAGAGAGTACGAAAAAGTACTTGAAAGGACACACCGTGTTTCATTTTTAACATCCATATAGCATTCAGAACCGACGGAAGAAATTCACACTTGAATCCTTACTCGGAATAGTCGGGTAAACAGTTAGCAAGTTGGTATCTTCGAAATATGGTACCTCAGCCCTCTTCCCGAACCCCTGAAATTCCCGCTTGAGTGGGGAGACTTACACTCATCGGCATTGATGGTTCTTTATTTTCAGTTGAGTGTACATTTCGCTGAACGACAATCGTTGTAAAAACAATACGTTTTTTTCGCCTGCCAGGTTTACGCTCCACAGCTCCAGCATTGGCCTACAGTTCGATAATTCTTGCAGCCCTCGCATACACGCTTGGTGGCATAGCATTTGCCATTTTCCGCAACAAACCAAGACGTCGGCAGATTCTTCTGCTATTTTTCGGAGTTTTCGCCTGGATTGCAGGTAACTAGCAGAGATCCTGATGGCTAGTAGTTGATTTTTGCCCAATTTTCCGCCGTTTGAATAATCCAGTCTGGCAAGCAAGTTCAAACACTAATAATGCGAATACAGTTAGCCGAAAGGTCTTCCCGTCTGCTGTCGACGGACCGACTAATAAGTTGGTGAACACCTACTATACGATAGCATACAAAACCGTACGGCATGATACCATTCTAATAAGTTTGGAGTTATTTAATCCTTCTAAGTGGCTAGCAAGAATTCAACTGTTCAAGGTAAATTGAACGGGGCGTTAAGGGTGCAGTTGTCCAGATAAACAGTATTCTAGAAGCACAGTATTATACAAACTTGAAGGTAAGCTGTCTTTCTATGCATGCACGTGAAAAACGCTGTTCACTACTTGCTCTTGCACGTACTGACCCCCGCTAAAAAAGGGACCCCAGGATCTAAAAGCACAGAGCGAACGGGTTTTTCCTGTTCCATTTCTTCCGGAAGCACAGAAAAATTTTGCACACGAACCCCATAAAAGATCACCAACAGTCTTGTTTGGTGCCTCTAACTAGAGATCTTCTGAAAGGTGACTAAAACTAAGGCATTTCAGGATGGTGTGCCAAACCTAGTGTTGTGCCGCCACCCTACAGACAGTGATCCTAATGTTCAGCGTGTACTCAACATCCTGGAGCTCTTTGGGGAATCTTACCTGATGCGCGATTCGTGACTTGCTTGGTTGACATTTCCAAAAACAGTCGAACATAATTTTCTTAATTGTTTTTGTTGTCTCATATCATTTTGATAAGTTTCGCAATCATTAATGAGATGGTATAAGACAGACTATTCAGAAGGGCTTTTATCAGAACGCCAATCAGATAGAATGTGTCACTTCCTTGGATCACATTCGACAATGTCTTTGGCTCATTATTGTTAGCAGAAAAACTACACATGAGGTCTGTTGTGTGACGGAAAACTGTCTGGGCATTACTTGTGCTGTCACGTCATCAAGACGTGCCAACATTAGTCCTGCTGGATCTCACAGAAAGCCAAGTGCAACTAAAGTATACACGTTTTCTGAAGCTGAAGTTTACCCTACCTGTTACTGAGATTCGATATCGAGGTAAATGCATATTTTTGGAATCCTGGCTCATAATAAATCACTGCATCGTATTCCACCATGTGTCATTTAGTGGAATTGCTTTACTCTTTTTGTGTTTTCTTTTATGTAGCAATCCTGATGTTCTGCTGTGTCATTGTGTTTCTGGAACTTCGTAACCAGGAGGCTCACAAATTCGACCACTCGTTACCCACGATACGCAGTAGCTGGTCACGCGTAAGTTCTATTTTTTCATCCAGAAAATTAACCTTACGTTAAGCGGCACATTACCGGTCACACTGGTCATAGAGTTGTAAAACATGTAATTACACCCTTCAAAATGACGGTCCAACTGTGAACATAATCGACGGCTTGGTCGTGTGATATTGCTTTCTGGTAAGCTGTTTCATAATAACCGAAGAGGCTCGGAATCCCGCATTTAATGTGTGTTCACCCTCGAACGGAGTTGTACCAAATCTCCCGCTACGAATGAGTACAAAAGAAGACACTCTGTGAACTGAGGACCATTCGGGGTTGTCGGGTGACTAGCATCGCTGCAGTAACTAGGATTCATAGACCAATCGACTTAGAGCCTGACTGGATCAAGAGACAAAGCACTGCTCGAGATAGTTCAGTGGTTGGGGCGCCAGCCTACGAACCGGAAGGTTTGTGGCTCGAGTCCGACCTTTTCATCTCGAATTCTCCTGTCTAGGCTTGGGCAACCTGGCAGCAACCCATCCCTTGTGCTTCTTGCGGGCGGCATGGCAGCAAGTCACTGTAAGGGTGATACTTTTATCTTATTAGTCAGAATAGTGATGGACAGTTTTTCATAGGTGCCGCTCACCTGCCCTTCGACCTCTGCCTAGAAACGTTTTCAAAGGAGTTGATTTGGTTAATATATACCCAGAATGAGGAACTGAGTTGAAAAGTGAAAGCGTGCAATGGAATAAGCTCTTGCACATTCTTAGACCAGCAACTGCAGCGTATGTCATTAGTTGAAATACTTCTTTGCTGGAGCTCAAAATCACAGAAAAAAATCTTCAGTCCCATTCATCGGTTTGAATGATCCCTGTGTTCATGAATTCTGGCTACTGCAGTCAAGATGTGGTCCAGCTGCGAAGAGCTGAACCACACGAAGGCTCTCCTCATTGTTGGAACACACTAGGTGTGCGCAGAAGAATCGGACAAGTGACTCTTTAGTTAGCATTTTCTACACCACATACCACACTGAAATGCGTGGCACTCATGCCTTTAATCCACTCCGTCACGTTCGGTCGTTCTTGGGGCCAATTGTGATACGTGAGCTAAACGACCACGTTTTATCCAGAACCCCCACCTCACAGATGGATAAGTGAAGCAAGCAGAAATTCGCTGTTGGGGCGTCCAGTCAAGTTGTTGAAATATGTCCTCGTCCGTTGCGCTAGAAATGTACAATCACTCTTAATTTCCCAGACTGTCCTGCACATTAGTGTATCAAAACCGTTGACGTACAGTGGTTGAAGCTGTGCTGCCATGTGACTTGCTACTCATGTCGCTTGGTATCATACAAACAACCACTAACCATGTGTACAGTGGTTGTGGCTGCCTACCAGGTTTGAACCGCTTAATTGGTCTCAATAACCCAACAGCAAGTAATGCCTACTAACACACTAATTAGTATGGTTCATGTCGTGGGATTTTTGAGCGAATTTCATGTGCATCTAATGTGCAGACACTCAACCATCTCAACAGAGTGAGACTCGGAAACTGTGCACAGGGAACGTGCAAGGTTGCGCGCACTGTGAAAGCACACACCCACTTGCTTGTTAATTTTACTTACCTTTATTTTGATCACGAGGTATCTTCAAAATAACCTTTTATCCTATCAAGATATCTCAAATGAACAAGCTAGATTACTTGAAGCATTTTCGGTTTGAATGACGTACGCCATGTGCATCGAGGGGAATGCGTGATTGCGGTGGTTCGAAAGACGTCAAGGTTCCGCTGTGCTACGTAACAATCATCGGAACGTATTTCGTTAGCCTGGAAAGTATTTTCATGCCGCTCTTAAGCACGGACCGTTGCGCGCACCTTGATAACTTGAGGAAACATAGATACACATTTCATCAATACATACCGCCAATTGTGGCAAAGAGTTGCATGGAGTTTTTGAGATGCAATGTTCGGAGTACATCGATCTAGTCTCTGGCTTCAAGACCATGGTCTCATACTATTGTTCAACTTATTCGTCATTATCTTTCTTTATGTGCTATCTCAAGGCCGGAGTAACCAGCATATCTATTGTCGGACCAAAATCCTGTGGTTGATTTTGAACACATTATCCTACAACTGCAACCAAATGGATTTACACTAAATGTTACATATTCTGTGTAAAATCTGTAGTACTTCCAGAAACCGTTCATAGAGAGAAACTCTACGAAAGTATACCTAGAAAAACTTGAGTTAAGTCAACTTTCATACACCGATTAAGGTTTCCTCAGGACGTATAATGATATTTGTCACCAGACTACAAAAGATTATGCAGATGTACAATACAGCAAGAAGACAAAGGCTGCGGGATGTCGATGGGTCACTTCTAACCTTCTATTAAAAACCACTAATTTTACATCAAAAATAGGGATAAATAGCGACAAAGAAACTGAACGTAGTCAGTCGCACGGTGGACTACTAAAGTCCGATCCTTTAGACCATCGCAATCTGATATCTTGTGTCAGAGTCTTTTGTGCACACAATGTGGTTAGGTATTGATTGATCAACATGACCTCATTGAAAACTAACAATTTCAAGTTGAATTTGTGTAGTAAAATTCTGACGACGGAGTCAGATCAACTCTGTACCCAGTGAATAGAATGTCTGTTGGACGAGGCAGGTTTTCGGGCCTAAACTTGCAGGCCAGTCGATTTGTCACCTGACTTGACTTACAAGGTAAATGTTTTGAGCTGCGTCCGCCAGTAAGCACGCCGCTAATGCTACGATAGATTCAAACCCTGATATTCTTGAAAGGAGAGTTCTACGAACGGAGGCCGAAGCTGCTCTTTATGGGTGCAGGGTGATACCAAGCCACAGTTACAAATCCGTTTGTTAGGCCATTATAAAACAAAAAAGAAGCAGGCTTTATGAATGCAAGCATATACACAATTTCACATTACAAACAAATTCAGCAAAAAGCGGATAGGATTTCAGATGAATTTCTAAGGAGGAGGCTGTACAGCTTTTCTGAAAAGCCTATGTGAAACAGGCTCTCCTGCCTCCTCACCGAACATCTTCAGGTCAGCCGGAAAAATCTGAAATTCAGAGCCTGAGATACGAATCTTGAGGGCTCCTAGATGACACTGGAAAATAGTATATTCTTCCTTCATCTTTAAGTACTGAAACCCACGTGGTTATTGTAGGATACTGTGCGTTATTTGAAACGGTTCTCGAGCACCTGTTCTCTACGGCTCCATCGAATTACGTTTTACTTGATGAGTAGATTTACAAGCTGGTCTAGTTATATTAAAATGACCCATGTTTTGCCAGGACATTGGTGATGACTGTTATGAGTTTGGTTTTCGTAGCGGGTGTACACAATGAGTGTTCGGACTGTAATATTCGCGTCAGACAGACTACATGGCAGTTTGTGGGGACAGGGTGGGATGGATTACCACCTGGTATGGTCGAACAGCCTACGTCATCATCAGCAAATCTATTTTGTGAAATATCAACCCTGGTCTCGGGTTTGATCAACAGATACACATGTAAGACAGTATTTCACAGGTACTCCGGACAAAATTGTCTCGACGAAAAACCCAGAAATGGCTAGTAATCTGATTAAACGTAACCCACAGCGCAGTACAGTCTGACTGAAAGCATTTGGTGTGTGAAGATGGAGACGTGAGTTCCATCTCCGCAAGTACTAGCAGCTCTGAGTATCCGTAGAAGACAGTGGAATCGGGCATCTTCCGGATTACATGCTTTCAGGGCAGTTTTATGCAGACGTTTTTGCAGCGAGTGGGTGAGACTGGTTACAAAGGATGCCACCGTGAAGTTTGATCGAACACCTAGGGAGGACATTTTTCATGTACTTTCCGCATTGATATCCAAAACTGAACGCATTTATGCGCTTCATGCTTGTGAATATATCATGGTTATGTACATGGTCTAAAAAGAGCATTGAGTCCCCCTCTACCCACAGCAATTCAGTGACTAGAGATGGATTTTTTTCAATGAGGCGTCATCCCGGAACATGAAAAAAATCCACGAGTTCCTTTGCGGAAACCGGAAAAGCTTATGAGTAGTTTAGATAGGGTTACAATAGCAGACAGCTATCCGAAAACCGACCTGGATGCTAACAGCGGCGGTATGCCATTGAATCA